GGTTTGCCTTACACATCATGTCATTTCAAGTAAAAGACACAAGTGACCACTAACATAAAAGAGATACCGCAACGACTTTCGAATCAAACAGAACCAATGCATCAATGAGGCCCACTGGCTGTGCCTCGTACAAAGTAAATTCTTGAACATATTTGTGGAGTGAATACATGAATGGAGGACATTTCTTCTGTTATCTGCACGCAAAAGTATCCAAAGTTTTCTATTTCTAGTAGAAATATCATTTGAAAATTCGGTAACTTTATTCTTCATCAGCTACTTCTTGGATGGCAAATGTAGGTAAATTGGCTCCAGATTGAGTAGGACAGTACTGTCAGTGATCAGAAGATGGCCTACCAGGTGTGCTGACTGTGAATTTAGACAAATCTAATGTCTATAGAACAAACATTTCATATATTGAACAGCCCCATATTTCATCTCTTCATCCAAAACAAGACATGAGAACTTAAGTAATTTCTATAATGTATATCACAAAAACAAAAAGTAGCAAATATATGTATATAGAAACATATATAGAGATACAGTATCTCTATATCTATCTATCTTGGTAGACTTCAGATGTCTCTTCTTAGTGAGAAAAGCAAGCTATCCTGAGTTAAGTAGGCCATGTGTCTATGGAACAATGAGAGAATGCATAGGCCATACTTCTACAATCTTCCATACGTGCACAATGTGGTGATATGAATGCTGAGATCAATGTTAAAAGCAAAGGTTTGAAGCAGTAAAAAAAAATTTAAAACCAAAGACTAACTGTGATAACAATTACAGAATTACAGCACCTAAGAAGACTACGGCCACTATAGGTAAAAGGAATTAGTCTGAGCCCATTATTGGCTCAGACTCCTCTCATAACTTCCCCTACCTCTTCTGCCTCACGTAGGGTGAAAGTTTTCTGAGGCTTATCACTAAAACTCCAAAAATCTGAGTGCATACAGAATATTTTTCTTAATCGAACTTCAGATCATTCTAAACCATTGCAAAAGCTTTTGCCTTTATACTTCAGTAGAACAACTAACAACTCATTCAGCAAACTGGCAATTATGTCTTTTTATGTGTACGTGTGTTTATATATATACATTAATGAAATAACTACTGTTGGCTGTAAGAAAGTAATTAAACTATAATTATAATTAAACTATAACTTAGTATATTAATTCACTTAAAAATAAGTCTTTAAGAATTAAACATAGTTTCTAAAAATTCAGAAGCAATTTAATTACATACAAAACATTAGTTTCCATATTAGTAAATACCACTAGTGAAGAAAATTTAAAAATAACCTGTGAAGTAAAATGACTTAGAGTAGGGTTATTTATTTTAAACTTCAATATTATGTTTTTTTTTTTAAATACAAGTGAATAAAAATATGCCCTTGTAATCTAACCTAAATCATGCTACACAGGAAAAGATCTATATGAACTAATCAGGGAATACTTTAGTACTAAATACAAACAAATCATTTTCAAATACATTAACTAAATGCTTTCATATCCCTAAAAATTATTTTTTTCCTAAAAGTTGTTTGTTCACAGAGGGTTGAAAATAGTTTTTCTTTCTTTTTAAAAATGTTTTATTTTTAAGTAATCTCTACACCCAAAGTGGGGTTTGAACTCACAACCCAGAAGTCAAGAGTCAAATACTCTACAAGTTGAGCCAGCCAGGTGCCCCCAAAAGAATTTATTTTCTTAAATTAGTTAATATCCGCTCAGGATTTTTTTTAACTATTCATTGTCTTGGCTTTTATAGATAGTGCCAAGGATAATATCATTTCATATTGAACTTAGTTAACTATCACAAAATTTAAATCAACAGAGTCAGAACCAGTATCATTACAATATCATATATATTATACTATCACAAGAAATTAGCCCATTTTAAAATTAAACATTGTTGGGGCAAGAAGAGTGACCACTGAATGCATAGGAAATTTAAGCCACTCAATGAATGTGATTTAAAGAGACAGAAAATACTGTGAGACATCTAAGATTAGGATATTTGTTCATAAAACAAAGCTTACCTTCTAAATTCAACTTTTTATATCCAATATAAGTAAAAGTCATACAGAAATTCTTTGTTTCTTTCTTTTTTGTTAAACAGTAATGGAAATATGTATAAAACTCTAGTCTCTTCAAATTGCTCATTCTGTTAATACTATATAAAGTTTGGTAATATTTAATATTAGATAACTTTATAAGATATGATGGAATATTTCAGATGTATTGACAATAGATTACTGGTTAGCAATTATATTTGGGTTAAAGCTCATATCAAGGACCAAAATTTCTATGCATGACCTTCCCTTTTAGGGGAAGAGAGGCAAATATCCAAACGCAGAACTCGGAAGAACTGTTAGTAGGCTTTAGCAATGTTTAAAGGAGTTACAGAGGAGTATGTGAGCAGTTAAGGGGAGGAATATGTGAACATGTAGGTAAACCCATTCTAAAAACTCAAGGCTGGTTAAATGTCCAATGTTGCATGGAGGTACATTATGATATTCAAAAATTGTCTTTATTCATTCATTCATTGTAAATTTTTAAATTGTTATGACTGTTTTGGAATCACAGCAAATTTTATAGGATATACTTTTTCCAAATTTCAAAACATATCTAAAACTGTTATCTTCAGTGATGAGGAATCTATTTTTTCAGACTGCAACAGCATTGCAATTGCCTCAAAACATGTATCCAAAATGGTAAATGTCTAAGAAATCCTATGATTTTCACATACTAAAGACCTCTTGCATGTTTCCATCCAATTTTTCCCTCAATATAAAGTGCATAATTAAATGGCAACATGTGTCACATAACTCCAGCTTTATTAACAACTAATTGGTACTATTCTTCTATTAGTAAGAAGGAGGACTGAAGGAGGCAGTCTTGCTGGGTTTAAATCCTGCTTCTACCACTTGTCAGTCACGTGGCTGACTTGGGAGAGTCACTGGGCTCTTCTTTGCTTTAGTTCCTCAACTGCGAAATGGGGTGATGTCGTTGTGACGATTAGTGAAGCAATAACAAGATGGGGTAAAAGCATGTGGAGGTATTGCCTGGCACACAGTAATTGCTTGACTGTTAGCTATAGTTTTTATTATAATAAGAAAAAAATAACAGTAACTGATGATAATATAAATCACTACTACCTTTCAAGCACTTAGTAAGTACCAAGCACTCTGATAGATGGTACATTGCACCCTTAAAATATTAACCACATCTTATTATACAAAGATTAGATCCTTAAAGATATGCTAAATAACATAATAGCAGATAATTTACCCCATGAAACATAGCAAAGTATGGCCAAAGTGTTTAAGTGACCTCTTCATCGTTCTACTGAGAAATAAGGCTTCCAGGATGGTGATTAGAAAACAGTAATGACATTATGAACAACAGTTGCTAGTTGATCAGTTTTGCTCCCTCCTTAGCCTGCATTGAATTTCATCAATTTTTCAATATGGGAAAATCACAAGATACTAATAGCATGGGCCTTTGGGATCAGTTGTTAATAATATCCAGAATGTTAAATCCCTAGAAGTTGAGATATACTTAATCTAGATATTTGTGTTAAGGTCCTATTTCCATTAAATGCAAAGTGTTCAACTTTTTCTTTGGAAACTTTGGAGTTTGTTTCTTTACTTCTCATTATATATATGGACTTAAGGCAAAAATCTTAAGTTGCTTCTGTAACAAAAGGCAATTTTTATCAGCTTGACCAGTATATGAATACCTCATACGTATGTAACACAGGAGTTTTGTTATTCAATACACAACTGCTAGCATTGAAGGTTTTTAATGATCATTTGAAATCATTATCAAATTTCATAAATTAAAATTCAATAATGGTCTGTATATACTTTAGTTATTAAAAGCATTTCACATACTAAATTAGTCTAAATCCATATAATTATCACAATCACAGTAAGGGCATTTTAATTGCTTTGAAAATTATAGATTCAAAACCAATATGACCATATTCATTATGCTAAAAAACAATGTTATTTTATCAACATAGAGATGATAAATATTACATACTTTAGAATGAAAATAGAACACACCTTGTGCTTCCACATGTTATCAAGGTCTCTAATAGACCTTGTAAAGTTCAACAAATAAAGCTTTATTTTCATATGTTATACACATACCTTGATAGAGGAATTCTCAGCATAGTATATTCTATTACAAGTCTCAGATCTCATATTAAAGCCTTCCTAAAAGTGAGAAATTTTAGGTATCTTTCTAAAATAAAGGTTGAATTTTTAAGTGGGCTTAAGTTTCCTCCTTTACCCTACTTACCCCTCCTATACCTTTCTAAACCTGTCTGGTCCCCACTGCTCCCCACCCGTGGCCATCGGGGGCACAGCCCCAGTGCACAAGGAAGTCATGCCATTACAGAGACCAGGGAGAGTGCCAGACTACTGGAACCATCCACGAGCACAAAGCATACCTAGAAGGGGCTGGAAGAAAGTCTTGGTAAAGTTTCCATCTGCTCTCCTCTCTTTTACTGAGAAATAAACCCTTAGGAGAAAGAGTAGAACATGCTCTTCACCTTGCACACGTGAATTACTTTCTGTGATGCAGGTGAGGGACTGAATCCCTATGACAGCACCCAGCCTCCACTTTCTGTAACATTTCTGTATAAGGATTTGGAAAGCGTGTCCATGTTTATTCAGTGAAAGGCTTCTTCTAGTGGAAATGTCCATGATTACATGATCCCATTTAGAGAAGATGGAAACAAACACAATCAAATGATTTTAATAAATGGGAAAAGAGGCACAATGGTTCATTGTCCAACTCTGATTTTTTTTTCTATAAATTCAAGGGATGAATTTTACCCTAAAAATGAACAGTGAGTGTCAATACATATAGAGTTGAGTTGGTGAAGCCTCAAATTGTCCAAATGACCTCCGATCTGTGGCCAGCACAAATATCCAAGTACAAGTCGAACACTGGTTACTTATTCCATGGTGAAGGATTCAGATTAAAAAAAAAAAAAAAAAAGCTATTTCCTTATCTTGAATGGAGAATGTGTAGCCAGCATGTCCTCTGTCTGGTTTGCAGAAGCTTCTGCTTGTCTGGTTCCTTGGCGATTCTCTTCATTCTTCTCCCATGGGGGGAGGCGGCTCGCACAGCTTGTAGAGCCTAGAAAAGGCATGGAAGAGTGTGACACGGGCCTGGCATATCACCATTATCTGAGATGTTTTTCCCTGGAGGAAAAGGATACTGACAATGATTTCTTGGCCCAGGAATCATGATCATATTGTCTACTCTACTAAAAATCACATATGAATTAGCAAACTCCCAAACTTCGGTTCTATTCTTCAGAAAACCCCAATGTGTCTTCGCTGCTCGAGATGACTAGCGATGGAGCAGTGCTCCCTTCTCCACACCAGCTGCTTCTGGTCCAGGGCTGCCAACCCCGACTGCTCACCTTGCTGGCAGCAAAATCGATTCTCTCAATTCTAGGAGACGATATTATTATGATAATTACCATCGTGTCTATTATGATTAATTTGTAGCAAAGCAGCACCTGCTCAGAAGGGTCTGCTGATTTCCTGACCCATTTTCAAAAGCTGCTTCATGTTGTACCATCTCTTCGGTGCAGTCAGTTGTGAGTTGGGCTGATGTGGCAGAGTCCTGAGGACTGACTTTCCCAGGCACCCTTATCTGGTGTTTCCTGGGGAATACTTGCCCAGCTCTGCCCATCCTTCCTCTCATCTGTCAGCAGAATCAGGTGGAGATTCAAGTGGGTCAAGGCCTCTAGTTGAGCTGGTGGAGATGCCTGGAAGTGCTCTTTCTTGGCATCCCATATCTCGGTGTCAGAGGCCACTCAGCATGAAGGCAAGAAGGGGTTGGGGGGAACTGAACTAGTACTGTAGAAGCTCCAGAGCTTCCTATTCTCCCAAATGGTTGTATCACAGCTCCAGAATGAAATTAAGGGGACCATAAATGCAGCAGGACAGCCAGTGACCAGGCAGGGCAAACCCATTATTGAAGCTGTAGGCTGAACGAAGATCCGGACACTAAGCTGGCTGGGTGCCCGACTACAGACACGTCCAGTCCTATAGTTCCGTGGGCATGCTGGCCCCGCTTCAGAGCTTCGTCTGTGATCTAAATGTCCCAGGTACAGGTGTCAACTTTGCTCCTTTTAAAAAGTACTCCAAACTCAGGGGTAGCTATGGTGATAAGCTTCTTTTATAGATTAAATCGGACAAAATTTACATGAGTTGTTGACAAACTCAGCAAATTATGTTTCCTCTTCCTTCCCCACTTAATCCCATGCTAATTCTAAATCAAAGTGGGGAAAAGACTAAAAAAGGGCAAATACTGAGTTAGAAACCTAGCTAACAAAAAAACTGTCCATGTTTGGAAACACTCAGAAAAAGTAACTGCCTTTGGAGATTTGCAAAATGTATTTCAAGTCTGAAAGGTGCTTAATACTCTATATGTCACCTCCACGGAAGAAAATGAATACTGAAATAAGGGCATCTCACATCAGAAGAGCTTTTTTCATCCTTCCCGGAGAAAAGAATACATTAAATTGGGCTGATATAGTTCAAAGCTGCCTTTGCAGTTAAAAAATACGGTGTTGCTTCAAAATGCATTCCCAGCACTGGAATAACAGAATGATCGGAAAGTTCTTTTCCTCTTTAATTTCTATCCTTTCATTTCCCTGACAGCGCTGCCTAATGAGTGGAAAGGCAGTGGCCTTACTCAGGTAGAACAGAAACCGTAAGCTGGGTAGCGAATGACCTACCCCCGTGAGATCTGGCCTGCGCCATGACATTCCATTACCTTGCACTGCACGTTTCCACATAATGGAGCTAATGCCACTGGGTAGACGAGTCTTTGAAATGTCTGCCTTGCAAATTGGCAAAAAGGCTACTCCCTGTGATCACCTAATGAAATAATAGCTCTGGCTACTGTAGAGCTGGGCAGATTCAGCTTCTGTGAGGTTTCTTGGAAGTGACTCAGGGTTATTTGAGTTCAGACACATTTGTAATGGAAATTGTGGGGCTTGGGGAATTTAGAACAGGCAGATGAAGCTGGGAAGCAAAATGTAATAGTTAGGAGCTGGACTCTAACCCTGCACTGAGGCGTTTGTTTTTCTGGCAGCTAAACCGTTAGGTAATGGGAGTCCTGGTTTTGCCCAACATTTTAGGACACTTGTCCTATTCTCATTCCACTCATGCACACCAGGGCCCCTGCATGAAAAGGTTTGTTCCTGGCTCCACTTTCTTCTTTTCCTGTTTGGGCTCTGGTGCCATCTTGGAGTTGGTATTTCCACACCAGTCCCCAACTGCCGGAAGTAGAACTTTCAAACTTCAATCTATAGATCATGCCCTTCACCTTTCTACACGGCATAAATAAAAGCTGTGTTAAGGGAGAGCGCAAAGCAAATGCCTCTTTTGAAGGCTAGAGTGTCAATAATCATCTGTCCCAAGGCAATTCTCCCTATCTTACAGATGAGAAAACTGTCTCAGGGAAAATAAATAACCGGGCTAACTAAGGTCACAAACAGGAGCTGGGACTCAAAACTATGTTTTTCACTTGTAACCTCTACAGGATGCTGCTTCACAATTGAACAAATAAAGACAATCAAGCTATCATAGCACAGTAGTTTCCAGGTTTTGTGACATAATAGAAAACAAGACCAGTGTGCCATTACATCTAAAATGTAATATTTGGTCTTTGATGAAGATTAAGTTTATTCCTCTAAAGATGCAACACATGACAGTGAGTGGGAAGAACATGCTTAGTACTGCCCACAGAGGCATCTCCCCGTAGGTGTCCCACTGATCCTCAGTCCCAATATTAGTGAGATGAGCTCAGCCTCTTTGCCCTATACTTTGCTTCTTTTTCTCAGTGAATAAAACCATTTGCTCCTTGTCACCCAAATCAAAGATTTGGTGGTCATTCTAGAATCTTCCTTTTTCCTAACCTCCTTCATCCAATTAGTGTCAAAGACTATTAATTTTGTCTCCTAAATATCTCTTGAACCATCCTCTCCTTTTCATTCTTAATAACATGACGATCTCCTCTCAAGCACCTGCCTTGTCTTAGCTGTCCTCAGATGGATCTTCTTAATGGTGCCAGAGATAAATTTGAAATTTTAAATCTTCTAGACAGGAAGGTTGCATTTTAATGCCTCCCTATTGTCTTCAAGAGAAATCAGAGCTCTTCAGTATCTCACACATGTCTCTTCCTGACGCAGTCCCTGCCTGTGCCTCTAGCCTCACGTTGCACCATTCTTAAATAACATTCAACCAGCAGTCACAGAGATTTGGGTTTAGTTCCCAGAGCAAGATGTGCTCTTCAGGCTGGTGTGATTGCATCATCCTTGGAGGACATCTATTCCATGCTGACTGGGCCAGGAACGCTCTGCAACCTCCCTTCTGTCTTTAGGCTGAGTTTTACGCCCCTTCTCTGTTTCTCATGGCAAGCTGTGCCTATGTCTGCCACAGTACTTTGGATACTGTCCTCATTTTATTCAGTTGTCTCTCTATTGCACCCCACCGACTAGTGGAAGGGACTAAGTCTTTATTTCTAGCTTTTAACATAGTGTCTGACATCTACAAACATATGGGAAAAAAATCCAACATATTGTTGATTGAGTGAATTTTAAGGAGTGAATGGGGAAAGGAAATCTATGGGAGAGAACGGTAAGGGATTTGAACCAAATATTATCTCAGGCAGAGATAGCAAACTCTATCTCCTCCATGAAGATATTTCCAGAAATATGATCCCAGACTTGTCTATGGGTGGCCTGTCCTTGAGAGCCAGATTTGCTCTTCGATTTGGTATCTTTGGGCAGGAATCCCAGTTCCCAGCTGGGTGGGATCTCTGGCCCTCTGGGCCCTTGGGAGTCTCTCCACACCCCCTCATAGTGCACTTCTTGCATTCTGCCTTTCCTTCCAGTTATGTTTTGCCCTCTCATCTCTTTACCTGAAATATCTTTGAGGGTTGGAACTGTTTCTATCTCATGTTTATGTTCTCCACGGGGCATAGCAGGGCGCTATGCATCTCTCAAGTCCTCAATAAATATTTGTAGAATGAGAGAAAGAATAAATAGAATGAAATTTAAAAATTACTCTAGATTTCTGCCTTGGAATTATTACTCTCTTGTAAAAAATGTCAACTTTACAGCTGGCATATTTTGTTGTGTTTCAGTTCAAGTATTTTAAAACACATCCCAATAAAGAAAAAAAGTGAGTTCATCAGGTTCCTTTCTTGTATTCAGTTTGTGTACTGGCTTATTGATCAGGATGCTGAAGTCTTATCTTAAGCCCCCTGTTTATTAGTGTTTATAAGCTCTAGCTAAGGAGACCTTGCTAAGCCGTTCTCTTGTTTTGTTATTGGGATTTCAACTCTTCCCTGGGTCAGTTATCCAAATATACCATGTCTACTCAAGGTGTTAGAGAGAGAATGACTATGTGAAATGATTCTTTAGCAATAAAGTCTTTTTAACCTAATCAACTATGAAAGATAACATTAACAAAACTGGAGGATTAGAGTCAGGAGTCAGCACTAAAAATAAACACAATTAGAACATGAGTGCTCCATCCATTTTCAGGGGGAAAATATGTTTTCCCTTTTCAAAGTACTTCCACCACCCACATACCTTTTTAGAATGAAATGTAACTTCATAAATGCTACAGTCATCATTCTCTGGTAACAGCTTTGTAAATGGAAACAAAGAATGTCTTATCTGAGAGAGTGTTTGGAAGAGCCTACTTTTTGTTAAAATGCCAATGTATAAAAACAATCAAATGTAAAAGAAATCATTTAATACTATCCCACTTCAAGATAGATGGCTGCCTACCCTAATGTCACCAGGGAAATGAAATTAACATTTTTATGATGGCTGTTCCCATGTTCATTTATTCTAAAGGTGGATTCGAGTCCTTTCTTTTGATGATATGTGAACTGTGAATATTTGTATGATCCCAAAGAAAAAGCTCATTCATTCATTTTTTTCATTCATACATTCTTGAAATCAAATATTCAATGTCTACTATATAGCACTATGATGAACAGGGAATAAAACCCAAAAAACATATTTCCTGCCTCCAAAGAATTCATATTTACATTGGGCAAGGAGTCGGGGAACAATATTTTGTAACACAATATGATAAGCGCTAAAATAGACCAATACAAGATGATAAGAGAGCACAAAGAGGGAGAATACTCATCCAAGACATTGAAGAGGAAAGAACATCTAAGCTGGGTTCTGTGGTTAAGAAGTTTTTCATACAGACACAGATGGGAGAAGCAATCATGCCCAAAGTAATGGCATGTGCAGGCATAGAAACAGAAATGCAAATGGCATTGTGTTGGTTCACTACAGTTGGAATACAAATTGCAATAGCACCTGTGTGGACTTCTGTCTTTGAATTCATGATGGAATTTGCAAAACAGAATAATGTCAAGACTTCTACCTGTTACCTCTAAGTTTGCTTCCCTTAAAGTTCTGAATTCAGAGATCATCGATGCCTAGTCACATTTAGCCACAGAGTGTTTACAAGGCCAGTTTGCATGCTTACAATCAGGACTGCACTAGACAATGTGCTGGGACAGGTGCGTTAGCTGTGAGTGATGCTGCCTGGGAAATGGTGGCCAGCCCTTTGCCAAAGAGCAGACCTGGGGAGTCACTTACCTTGGAGCAGACTGTGGGGTTCGGTCTCTGATTCCCAAATTCTTTGCTGTGTTCTGAACTCTTGCTCCCTGAAAGAAGCAGGGAAAAAAATTTTTTTAGCTCTACATGGTATTAGTAATTATTTAACATACCATTAACATTTGAGCCTAGAGTATTTATTTCCACATCGTATTTAACACCAAGAGAAACTAGATGAAGCAGAAGAGAGAAATCATCATCTGAATATTTTCATAACTAACGCCTTTAGGAATCAAAATATGCTGATACATTGTTCCAAAGGATTGATACTTATTTCAGTAGCCATCCGAATCATTCAAAATATATTTAATCACAGCTTCCTGTTCATTATCTCAGCTAGGTCTTTATTCCTAGAAGTAAGCAATACTTCAGAGGTTGAAGATAAGAAATGAGCAGGACACAAATACCTGCTGTGTCCCCACTTTCGTGGAACAGAAATCACAGTTCTATCTCACTCGTGCACCTGTTTTGTCCTTAGCTGAATAATTAGCTATTTTAAACTTCACAGTATTTATCAAGAAAACATTTTCTTAAATAGTGCTAAAGCAATTTCAGGACAAGCCATGGGCATATGGGTCTCTGAAATGTAAGAATTCTGCCTCAAAGTTTAAAGTTCAAAGACAATGTGCTTCACAACCTGTCAAGTTTGAAGCTATCATCATTGCTCAGTTACTAATAGGAATCAGTTACTACATAGAACCAAACACCAGGGTTTGGGGCTGAGAAAAGATGAAAGAGAGTAGTTTAAAAAGAACTCTGAAACTCTCTCTCCTGCTACCAAATTTCTGAGCTGTGGGAAGGAGAGAAAGAAAAGAAGAAAAAGAAGAAAGCAAAACAAAACCTATTTTCTTAAGATGGACCCAGTAAAGGAAAGCAGATAGGGAAAAGGGGTGGGGGTGGAAGAAAGACAAATGTAAAGGAAATTAGGAATCACAATTCAACAGTTAAAACAATGAACTATTTTGTAGTATTTTTCAACTTAGAGAAAAGTTATAAAAGCAGAACAGAGAGTTTTCACTCTATAATATGAAGACCAAAACCAGGGAATCAACGTTAGTACAATGCAGCGTCTTATTCAAATTTCACCATTTCCCACACTTGTGTCCCCTTCTAATTCCAGGATCCAATCCAGATCCCCTACTGCATTTTGTTTTCTTGTCTCCTTGGTCCTCTGATCTACAGTACTTCCTCGGTTCTCTTTGTCTTCCATGACCTTAATATTTTTAATGAGTACTGGTCATTATTTTGAGGATATTTCTCAATTTGGGTTTGTCAGATCTTTCCTCATTATTAGAGGACATGCACTTTGGGCAAGAAGTGATTTGGTGCCTTCTCAGTGCATGAAATCACTGACATTGACTGTTATAGGATGGCTTTACCTCTTATCATTGAGATTGAATCATTGCTTGGTTCAAGTGGTGTATGTCAGATTTTTCCACTGTACAGCTTCTACTTCTCTTTTTTGTAGTTAATAACTTGGAGAAGATACTATGAGACTATGCACATATTGTTTCTCTTCAAACTTTGCTCACTGGCTTTAATCTCCATTGATGTATCTTGCTGCAACAATGATAATGTAGCATTTAGGAAGGAATGCTTCTATGAATAAGAGTCCTCTGTTCTTCCCAAAGCCATTATCTATTTATTCAAGTGTTTATTTAAATCAACATGAATTTATAAATATTTTATTCTGAGTTAGTATCCAATGTTTCTATTATTAATACTTTTTTTTTTTTATTCAAATTGTTGCAGATCGACCACTAGGAACTCCTTCAGGTGGCTTCTCATGTCCTACTGAAAGAATCACAATCATTTTTGAATACTTGTTTATTTTTTGGTACCTCAGGATGTTCCAGGCTCGTCTTCTCTGTCTCAGCTGGAAGTTAACCACTTCTCCAAGCATCCTTGGTTCTTTTTAATGGAGAATTATATTTGGAACCCAAGATCTGGACACTGGGTATGTTCATTGCTACTACTGGCATGTAAGTGCTTCTAGGTCTTTGCAGTAGACAGGGCTAGGGTGACTAGGGCAAGCATACTCAGACGTCTATAGTTATTTCTACATCTATGTATATCTGTGTGTGTGTGTGTCCATCAGTTCAAACTACTACCTCTGATTCAATCCCATGCCACAGGGTTCATTCTGGATTACAGCCTTCTCCCTTTCCCTATTTGTAACTTTCTTTTCTGACAGTAAGAAACTTTATTCTCATTATTTACAATATATTTACTTATCTATATGAGCCTAATATACCCATAAATAAGTTTTAGAATTTCTGAATCATATCCCTGTGAGAAATAGCTTTACTATAGTATTTTTATATGATTGTTTTTGTCTTTGGTCCCATAATATTCCATTAAATAATCTAACAAAAGACTTTTGCTTTCTTAAAAGGTTGCAAATAAATTGATGCTTATCATGCTGAACAATTACTGGCATATTCCATAATGAATTCAACTATATAATTCATCATATACTCAACATGCCAGATACTTGCACTTAAAAAAAAAAAAGATTTATTTATTTGAGAGAAAAAGGGGGGGGGTGAGAGTGCGTGCATGCACAGAGGGACAGAGGGAGAGAAAAACTTAAGCAGACACCATGCTGAGCACAAAGCCTGATGCGGGGCTCAATTTCATGACCCTGAGATCATGACCTAAGCTGAAACCAAGAGTTGGATGCTTAAGTGACTGCACCACGCAGGTGCCCTGATACTTTCACCTTTACACCCTTGCTCAAGCTCATGTTGCTCCCTCTACCTAAATACCCTCTCTCTCCTGTTTCCTACCTGTCCACATCACATTCATCCCCACAGGCTCAAATCAAATACCATCTTGGGCAGTAATTAATTGGTCCTTCATTGTGTCAGGTACTGTTCTAAGTATATTGAGTGTATTGCTTTATTAATCCTCACACCACTATGAGGTAAGTGCTATTATTATCTTTGTTTTAATAATGAGGAAACTAAGTAAGAAGGAGGCTTGGAATCTTGTCCCATATGATACAGACAGTAAACACTGGAGCTTGGACTAAAACTGAAGTTGTTTAAACTCAAGAATCCATGCTATTAAGGCACTATCATATTATAACTTGTAGCATGAAGGCTTTTCCTGATTACCTTAGTTAAAACTAATTCATTGCTCACATGTCATTTTGCATTTACTCTCTGCTAGGAACTCTTCTGGAAACCTGTGACACCAGAACAAAATATACTCAGTGTCCCAGCCATTGAGGGGCTCACAATCTAGTCACTCATTTATTCCTGTCTTCTGGCCTAAAACACTGAGGTCGAATACCACTTGTCTGTTGGTGCCTGTGTCATGATGATTTGCCCCCATGTGGCCACCATGAGATAGGGCAAGAATCACATCTTCCTTAGTCTGTTACTGGTGCCCAATATAATGCCCTGATATTGTAGGTAAGGAGACAGAATTCTTTGAAATTCCAGTTTTATTAAAAAGGTCAAAACATTTTTGAGATTGGCTTCCACCAAATAATGTATAATTTGTAGGATAGAAAGCTTTGTCTCTAATGTCAATGACAACTTTTCCCTCAAGCCTTTTATTAATGAGATCCGTTGGTTATGTAAAAGTACTGCCTAGGATTATGATAATCGTTATCAAAAAAGGGGCATGGGACCCCACCTGCTATCTTTTAGCTTTCCTTCTAACAACTCAACCAGGGCATTCAACAAATGTATGAAAAGGACACATACAAAATCTGTACATGAAAATAATACTGCAGTCAGAAGAATAAATCATGCTAAAGAGCTTCTTCTTCCTAAAAAGGAAACTAAAGATCTTAGAGAATCTTATTCATTAACCTAGAAAATATCCCAACCATTCAGTTTCCAGAGAGTTATATCTAAATGGCTGAAAGGCAAAGGGAACAGAAAAGTTAGATCTTTGATTCCCACAAGTGTTCTAACTACTCAGATCACAGGCAGGGAAAAGTTGGCTTGCTGAGTGGATCCCAGCCGCTAATCCCATTGCCTGTACCAGCTAAACCCTGGGGAGAAAATGAGCAACGGAGGGAACACTGCAAAACTCTCTGTGCACCAGGTTAGCCCCGTTTCTCCATTGAGAGGGGCCCCAGGCTCTCTGATCCTTCATGAAGAAGTCAGAAATCAGTTCTTTGTCTCCAAGCCACTTGGAGCAGAGAAACATGTAACAAAGGAGAGAAGCTATCTATTCTGAATGTATTTATTATAAAAATATGGACGGGAGAAGACGTGATAAACACTGAAAAGCAGGGAAGTTTAGAAATCAACCAGGATTTGATAAGAAACTTCCTAACTTTTCAGTTGTCTTAAGTTATATTTTATAAATATATAATAATATATACTAATAATATATGTAAATATTATATGTACATTGTATCCTCAGAAGGGTTTGCACCAGTTAAACAAGTCATTAAGGCTTAAAAATGATTTTTACTTTCCCTATTTTATCCATCTCTGTTTTCAGTTGTGAGAACTTAACGGTTTTGATTATTGGAGTCTATATAGCATGAATGTATATCTAGCCAATCCATCATTACTCCTATACTAGATTATTCTAAAACAGGCTAATACCAGTCTCTTAGTCTTGCCATAAACTATGATTTTTGAGATGGTTCCTTCAAGTCTTATTGTAAACTTACTCTAACAGCAATAGAATGAAACAGAATGCTTAGTCTCTTTCTGTATTTTTGGCATTCCAAACCCAACCTGATAGGGATAATCGCAAGTTTACCTTGATCTACTTTTTTTAAAACCAAATTTGTATATCCACCCAAAAAAATCCTTCCAAAATCTGCTGGCCTTTGTATCTGCATTTGCCCTTTCCCAGCTGAACCACCGTGTGTCCTGTGCTTCTTGTGGATCTAACATTTACTTAGCAAATTTCTCTTGGACCTTGTGAGATCTTGGTTTTCAGTCTCTAGCTTCAGGGTTCCCAGCTGGGAACCTGAAGCCTGAAGCTACAATGTATCTCCACTTGTTGCACCTTATTTCTGAATTGCAGACCCTAAACTGGTACTGGCCTCATGATTGTTTCCATGGATTTCTTTTTCTTTCTTTCTTTCCATTCTGTATTATAATCTTGGGAGCAAACCCACAGGAAGTTATCTGTTTGTGTAAAAGTTATACACTAAGTACTGAGTAAATAAAGCAGTTTTAACTACAAAAGCATATCTTAAAAACTAAGTTACTTGGGGTGCCTGGGTGGTGCAGTTTGTTAAGCATCTCTTGGTTTCATCTCAGGTCCTGATCTCAGGGTTGTGGGATGGGCTTTGAGTTGAACTGGGCTTGAGCTCAGCCGGGAGTCTGCCTGAGACTCTCTCTCTCTCTCTTCTTTCCCTCTGCCCCTCCCCCCATGTGTGCCCATGCTCTCTCTCCTTCTTGAAAATAAATAAATCTTTAAAAACAAACAAACAAACAAACAAACAAAGTCACTCACTATCACTGGGCAATTCAAACCAAGTGAGTAAGTAGAGAGATTTGTTAAATTAATTTCTGTGGTAACCTGAGAAAAATGTGACAGAAGAAAATATAAAATTGATCTTTTCCGACTTCTTTTGCTTTTCTACTAAGTTGTGTTTTTCTATTAGATTAAATACATTTTCCTAATAATCAACAAATTGGAGGTTAGTGTATTTTTCTTATCTTTTAAAAGAATTTTATGAGTTAAAAACCAAACTGTCATATTTCAAATACCACTGGGTATTAGGCCAAAAGTTCATTCTCTTGATAAGAGAGTATATTCTCACCTATAAATACTTCAGTGACCTAAAGACATTCCTAAAATTGCTATTCATCCTCTGAAGGAAAATCTGAGGTATATGTTTTATCTTCAGAATAGTCCACAAGTTTCTTAGCATGGCTTGGCATTCCCTCTGGGAGCTCCAGGAGCAAGCAGGGTCCTCAATTCTTTCCTCTTCCTTGTCTCCACCCTCTTCCTCAATGTATTTCCAGAGCCTTAGTAAATCACCTGCAATGCCCTGAAAGTGCCATGAAACCCTTGACTTCATCCTTTACATAAACCCCAAATCCACTCCTGCCCGATACATCTGGTCAACCCCTTTCCTCCTTCAGGTTACCTCTTCAGACATCTTTTTTTGCAGCTTGACTACATTTCTTGGAGAACCTTCATATAGATGTCTGTACTGCTTTCATCCCTGGGAGTGTTTCTTGTCCATACTTACCCTCTGAGCCCAGAAAAACGTCCCTCAAATCCAGGCACCCTTGAGACACCTGATAAATGCTGATTATTCTGACGAAAATTGATAAATCCTGATTAAAAGGAAGCTTCAAATCCAGGTCCTGTAAAACAGTCCCTATACGGGGCATGAGACTTACCTGCTTCCGCATCACGTCAGTGGCCTGCATGATGTAGCGGGGAGGCAGCCCGTGGCTTCGGGCCAGAATGATGGCCTGCTCCAGGGTCACGCTCAGAGTGCACCTGTGTGCAAAAGCAAAAGCAAGTCAAATGCCTCGGGCTCCCATTAAGCACTTCAAGACAGTTTGGGTTACTAGTGAAGAGGGACAGAATATACTCCTCCTACTCTGCTTCCTCAGAGAGTCACTCATTTTTCTTTGGGTATCCCTCCCAGGTAGTCATAAGTTTACATGTTAATAAACCTGTTTTTCTCTTATTAATCTGTTTTTTTTTTTTACTATTAGGGTCTCAGCTAAGAACTCAGAAGGATAGAGGGAAACTTACTTTCCCTCCCCTACCCTAATTGCATAATCAAAAAACGCCAGCCAAAATGGAAGCGGCTAGACAATGAACCATAGATTTTTCTACATAGAACACCTGTTTTTGTTTTGGTTTTAAGCAGGCCCCACACCCAGCGTGGAGCCCAATGCAGGGCTTGAACTCATGACCCTGAGATCAAGACCCTGATCTGAGCACAAGAGTCAGGTGTTCAACCGACTGAGCCACCCAGGGATCCCTAGAACATCTGTTTAAAAAGAGATTATAGAGCTAGATGATGGGGTCCTAAATTAACTATTTAAATCTAACAAACTCATAATGAACTATGTTTATGAAAGAGTTTATATACATACAGTTAAACAATTATAATAAAATCTATTATCGGATATTATTCTTTACTGGTGTTTCATGTAATTTAAAAGAAGAGACTTCTTAATATTTTTCATACATGTCTGAATGATAGTTAATAGATCTATACCCATTTATGCCCAATAACTTAGAAAAATAAACAGTGAAATTAATATTCACTATGATCAAAATTGATATTTTAAGGGATGCCTGGGTGGCTCAGTAGGTTAAGCGTCTGCCTTCAGCTCAAGTCATGATCCCAGGGTCCTGGGATGGAGTTCCTTATCAGGCTCCTTGATCAGCAGGGAGTCTGCTTCTCCATCTGCCTCTGTCTGCTGCTCCCCCAACTTGTGTTCACACTCTCTCTCTCTGACAAAGGAATAAATAAAAAAATAAAATCTAAAAAAAAAAAAAATGAATTGGTATTTTAAAAAGTATGTTTCCTGGACCAAATCTAAAAGACTGTAAAAATTTTAAAAGGAACTTTTAATTAATAATACAGTAATGTGGTGCCCAGAGCAACCGTGAGAAAATTCAGAATTCAACCCCTGAATTCAGGGATTGTCAAGCCTTCATCCTTTGCCTTCCCTTTCAAGGCATTTCCTTTATGTCCTTTCACATTTTTTTTTTCTCTTTGGCGGTTCTTAGATCCTATTTATTTGCTAACATTATCAGGTGCTAGTCTTTGAATTGCTTTTTAGGGAGCCTTTACATACATTTCACTAAAATGTTCATTATTTTTTGATGTTCTGTGTAAAATTCATATGAGCAGATTTGTTTTATTTTACTTTTCCATTTATGGGTATTTTGATTGTCTTTTTTCCTGTTTCTGCATTTACCTACCTGTAGTTTGGTGTTTTTTTACACATGTATTTATCTAAGTCTGTCCAGTTTTTCCTTGCAAATGAAAGGTCTGGAGACCTTCTACATGAGGAATAGCTAACTCACCTATCCTGGGTTAGGTAGTTGGACTACAGAAGTCCAACACGCTTGCCACATTTTGATACTGATGAGTTAAGAAAAAGAGGGTAAGGGGCTTTAAACATTACTGCTTAAATTTTGGAAAGACCCTGACAATGTGTAATAGTATTATTATGCATCATTGGAATCTAAGGAGAAACGTGTTAAGTTTCATTGGCTGTTCATAGACCTGACAAGCATTAACATGACACAAAACTCCTTAAAAAGCATTAGTAAAACGTAGTCAGATGTGCTGAATGTTACAATTAGCTTTTGGTAGTATGTGATATTTACAAGTATTAGTGTATGAGTCTGATAACAATAGATACTTGTCGTTTTACATGCTCTCACATGCCCGAGAGAGCCAAGGAGTACAGTTGACAGTTCACGCTGAAAAAATCAATTTTTCACAAAGCATTTAATTGTCAGTTTACTTGACAGACCATAACATTTTTTTCCTCCTTACTATCTCCTCTACTCCAATTTTAGGTCCTTATTGATTCTAACATTTTAATCAATAACCCTCATTACACTGGCTGAATGACACTAAGAAAAAAATCTTTATCTTTTTCTAATCAAACTGAAATATGTCTGTTCTTCCAGATAAAACATGACTTGCCCTCATCTGCTTATAACACTGACTTGTAAAGAATATTTAATATTTAGCAGCCCATAATTTTTATCCATTTTAAAAATCTTTTTAAACGGATTTATTTCTCCCTCCTTCGGGCTGTAATAAACAACAGTAGAGTAGCAAATTATCTGCCAGAGACTTTAAAAGAGTTTACTGTAATCTCCTGATCAATCAGTGTGGCCAGCACCATGCTCTCTGAGAAGGTACCTCAAAGTGTCATTTTTTAAAAATAATCACGCACATATCACCTAATGGAAAAATCTTCCTTATAATGGATGTGTGCTTTCTTTCACTACCATGTCCAAAACAGACAGCTTTGTCTATTATATCTGCCCGTCCATACTAACCACTGTGTATATTTCAATTAGGTCCTAAGATTAATTCAAAAATTTTATAAAAAGTGAAACATTTAGGGGAACTTGGGCGGCTCAGTCAGTTGAGCACCTGCCTTTGGTTCCGGTCATGACCCCAGGGTCTTGAGATGGAGCCCCGCATCGGGCTCCCTGCTCAGAGGGGAGTCTGCTTCTTCTCCCTCTGTCCCCCATCCCATACGTACTCTCTTTCTCTCTTACTTGCTCCACTTCTCTCTCTCAAATATATTAAAAAAAAATCTTTAAAAAAGTGTATTTAAAAAGATACAACAAGGTCAATGTGGGAAATACTGCCTGAGTTTGATTCACAATTTGTCCAATTGAGACCTACTTTTCCATCATGGCATCATAGTATTCCATTTTCCTGGATTAGGCATGTGGGACAAAGCCCAGCGGTAAGCCTGCAACTTTGCTGTTAATATATTCACTATAAGCCTCGTAGCTTTCTCTCTTCTCTCAGCTTTATCAATCTGAATGTCAACTGGGAAAATTCAGCATTTGCAAGAGGCATTTTGATTCTAGCATTCTCGGAAAGATTCCAGATCCAGAGAGTGGCACAGGGTTTTTCAGTGGTGCATAAATGGATACTCAGAGTCAGGTTTTACAAGAGATCATTTCGTTTTATAGGTACTTTGGTGATTACCACTGAGACAGCTCTGCTGACTCTGGGCAAGAGAATGAAGGAGCATTAGGATGGCTAGGAATCCTAGGCACATCTGTTGAGTACAAGAGTTCTTATCTGACTCACAGATTTCCTTTCTAGCTCTGTTTTCACATTAGGCAGTTGAATTAAAATTCAAAGAAATCTATATTTTGGCCCCATCCTGGAAAATACGGGCCTTCACTCTTCAGCTCCTTCTAGCTATAGTGTCATTTTTAAAATTTGGACAACCTTTTCCCTGGGAGTCACAAAAATGAAAATATAAAGGTCACAGAGTAGATTTTGTCCTTCCTAAAAGACAAATATAACATATACACTGAAGAAAGTTGCTCCATAATTTGAGCAGTAAGAGTGACAGTGCTGCTTAGGGTATACTCCTGAGAAAATGTACTTGACAGGGCTATAAAATTATGTAGAAACTGTGAATTTCCCCACAGAAAGAAAAAAAAAGGGTCAATATATCTGTGCTTATAATGAATAAATCTTCTTGACATACAGTGTGTTAAGAATAGATCCCACATCACATCAGAGATTTAGCACATTTTTAATATGATAAATGTAACCTGTGGTCAAGGGGCCCGATTTAATTTGAAAGGCACTTTGATTTAACTGTGGCATGGAAGAGTCACAAAGAAGTAACTTTTGTTCATTCATTCACTGAACAATAATTTTTGAGTGTCTTCTTTGCACCTACAGGTGCCATGAGATGCTGGAAGAAGGAGATTGGCTATCAAGCTAAAAACGGTTGGGAATCAGTTTTCCTCACTCGTACGGATCCCTAGCACATTGTTCACAGAGTCACATGCTTTTATAAATTTGCAGAAACAGAATGTTTTAACTGCAAATGGTTATGACTGCTGTCTTCACTGTGTCTACCGCAACTTCCCTCTGTCGTGTTCTGCAGTGTTCAAATGGCCAGGATTATTTCTGGAACTGAGCTAAAGGACGTAGTATTATGGAGCACTTAGGCTAGGCTGACTAGAACCTATGTATGTGATTCACAGTTACTTCCATTTCTAGTTAGGTTATTATAGTCTCCTGGTGCAGAAATGGAGTCCAGAGTATTCGTACCACCCATTGTGCAAACTCACTCCCCTAATGTTGAAAAGGAGGAGCAGGGCCCAAGGTTGTAATGCAGTGTTCATATCCTGGGACACGCAGGGCTGTCTGTGGTGGAGGGAAAACCAGGCTAGAAATGTATAGAGCCAGAAGCTAGTCTGTGGAGTATTCTCCCAAATATCATGGTTCACATGCTATAGAACTTTATAGGGGTTCTCATTTCTGATAATTTAAAAGTTTATAAGCGATTTAGCAACAGTGTTGAAATTAAAAGTCTTTTCTTTTATTTTTTAAATATTTTATTTATTTATTTGACAGACAGAGATCACAAGTAGGCAGAGGCAGGCAGAGAGAGAGGGGGAAGCAGGCTCCCTGCTGAGCAGAGAGCCTGATGCTGGGCTTGACACCAGAACCCTGGGATCATGACCTGAGCTGAAGGCAGAGGCTTTAACCCACTGAGCCACCCAGGTGCCCCTAAAAGGCTTTTCTAATCAATAATTTTTCTTTAAAAATTTGATCAGCCATGCTAGAGAAAAAATACTAAATTATTTTCCTATTGTCTCTATAGAAGATTATATCACAAGATTATTATACATTGAAGAGGCAGTCTGAAGAGTCTGTTACCAAAAACTGTAGAGGAAAAAAGTACAGAGGTGGGTCAGGCAATCAAGTAATAAAAACAGTGTTTTGCCTTTCAGATTTTATAATGCTT